GGATGTCCTCCTACAAAAACTTCTATGGAATTTTTAATAGCCACAAGTGGTCACAGCTTTGTTTATACATCTTGTCTGAAAGCTGGAAAATGTTCCTATAATTAAGTTTAAAAAAGGGAGCGTGTAGGGGGAAAGGAAGAGAGAATAGCCTGAGAATATCCGTTGAGCTAAATGTCCTGAGACAATCAGATTTGTTCTCAGAGATGAATGTGTATTATTTTAAAGGCCAGAAGAAACATGTCTGCCCATTCTGTGCATGGGCGAGGATAGGTTTGTTTAGTTTTAAGCCTTGCATTGTGTAAATATCTTTACACTTGCAAGATGTTTCAATTGCAGTAACATTAAATTCCGTCTAATGGTTCTTTGCTTGGAATGGAAATACTTACGATCACCAATTTAGGGCTGACACAGAAGAAGGAATATATTTATCTTTGTGAAACCTAAAAGTTAGTTGAGCACTGAGTGTCGGAGAGTTGTGTTGCTTCGGAAGTGGGGTTACAGAATTAATGTTTTATCCAATGTTAGATATTGTTAGACGTTTGCTTTCTGCTGGCTCTGGATTACTTCACTGTGTCCTCTTGAGAGACTGAAGTTGGTTGAAGTGGTGGAGTGAGATTGCTTTACACCTTGGCTGGTGGCTGCTGGTTGAAAGGCTAATAAGTAAAAAAAAAATTAAACACAGGAGTTTTGGTTCATATAATACCATTGGAGGGCTGGAAAAGATTTTTTTTTTTTCCTACTGAAAAGTGACAGTATCAGGGGCATGGACTTGGAAAGTACCAGATTTCTGTCTCCTGTTATGGGATTTGCTCCTAATTTTCACTAACCTGTGGGTCTTTCTTTGCAGGTTGATCTGTTGCAGTTCTTTCTCAATCTGGAAAAGACTTTTCTGGTTTTGGTGTCTGCTTGCTCAAAAATGTTTTTTATGTCTTCATAAATGTCAGAGTTCTGGGCTAATGCTCTTGTTTGGATACTGTATGTGTGTTGTCAGTAGTGGAAAATTATTTAACAAAGTGGCATCACAGCTGCAGGACAATACACTGATTTCTGTAGCAAGCTACAGTTTGGGATTTGTTTGGTTTTTTCTAACACATTTATTACTTGTATTAAAAGTGTGTATTCCAATAAGTGTTTGTTTACAGGAAATTAATTTAAGTACATTTAGTCAGTTACAGTAATTGAACAGAGGTAGGCGAATTGGAATATATATATTTTTTTTTTCTAGTGGTAGTAGTAGTATTGGTAGCAACATGTATGGTGTCGTGTTTTCATCTCTTACTACTTGGCCAAGAATATCATTTGTACTTTTAACAACTTTTTTGCTCTTAAATAATACCAGCAGGTATATTGACTTTCTATTTAGTAGTAGTTGAAACTCTGAAGTTTTACAAAAAGGAAATGCTCTCCCTGTAAGCTAAAAGTTTTTCACACAAATGGCTTACATTGGTACATTGTCTTTATTTAAAGATTAGAAGATAGCATGAAAGCATGCTGCAGCTACAGCTTGTTCACTATACTGAAGTGCTTTTGTTCTTTTCCAGTATTTAAATGTTCATGCTAACTCCTCCCATCCTGTCTACTTTGTGTTTAGAATTGGTGAAAGACAAAAAACTTGGAAATGACTCAGAGAGGACTCTAGAAAATTTGTCTCACAGAACAAATATGTGATACGTGCTCTACGAGCTCTTCCGTGTGGAGGATTATGTGAACACAAGGTTAGAAAAAGCAGAAGTGTTCTAGCTGCTGAAGTCAAAAAAGTGGCTTATGGAGGGGGTCTTGCCAGGGCAGATCGTCACTTGTCATGTGTCTGCAGTGTTGTCTTGGGACTGTAAAGATGTTTTAATGCACTGTTGTTACTCTTCAGCCATTTTTGATCTCCCATTTGCTTGTCGTGAGGCTAGAGTCTAACATGAGCCTTGACACCAAACATTTCAACTGTGGCTTTCAAATTTTTTGAATAAGTAAAATATTTTTATGTGCAAACTGGAAATATTCCAAGTGCTTATTCCATTTTCTAAGAACACCTGGGCACCACAGCTCTACAGGTCTGCTTCCTGAAGAAAATTATTTTCAGGCTCTCACTGTGGTCCCTGCATTGTAGGCACCTTGTGCTCAAGTGAGGCAGTGATGATATACAACCAACAGAAGGGTGAGAATAAGGCAAATTCAAACTCTTCAGGCTCTTGCACACATGCCAGTTGATGGTGACAACAGGACAGTGCACTTAGGAGTCATCCTGCAAGTCAGTCGTTCCTCCTCTGTGCTGGTGACAACAGGACAGTGCACTTAGGAGTCATTCTGCAAGTCAGTCGTTCCTCCTCTGTGCTCATAGTGCGAGTAGAACAAATATTGACTATATCAATAGTTTCTGGAAACGGAGCAGTACTGTAAGATATTGACTATATCAATAGTTTCTGGAAACAGAGCAGTAGTGTAACCCCCGCTCAGTTGTATCCTGGTTCTTTTATTCTGATCAAAAGGTACTGGAATCTTTTGGTTCTGATATTAATACTGTTATTTAAAGATGTTGCATTAATGTGCAGTTTTCTCTAAGTGCTGTTTTCTAAGTGCTCTCCAAGTGCAGAATCTTCTTTTCCAGCAGACTTTTCTTGTCTTGCATCTGGCAGATGTTATTTCCTAATGCAAAAGGCGGCCTGACTCCATTTAGTTTATTTCCTTTTTGTCTAACAGCATCATTAATTATACTTGTGAGGGTTGTGTCTCTGCTGTGGCTGTGACCAGACGAAAGGAAAAAACACAGCAGACAGTCTTTGGGTTCTGTAGGAGAAAGACTGAGGTGTTCAGTTTCTTTTCTTTGGTGGGTTGCTTGAGCATGGAGAGCTGTCACAATTTGCGTTGATTCCAAACAGCAGTTTAACTTGTTCTGCATATTCCAGACCTGTCCCAAGGGCCTTTCGCTGTGCAGTGATGTAAGGGAGGAGAAAGTGCAGTACCACTCCCTGACGTTCTGCTTTGGGAAGGGTTTGTGATGGCATCTAATCCAGATTTTTTAGCTCAGCTTGAAGAAAAATCAAACACCATCTATGAATTATTAATATTTAGTGCTAAAAGATTATTTTCTATTTAGGCTCTGATCAATAGTTCCAGTTGCCAATGAAGGTGAGAGTTACCAAAATGTCTGCTGTGGCAAAAAAGTTAAAAATTTAGAACTCTTACTAATACTGCTAGTACTAGTACTGCAAAATTTTAATCTAATTTCGTCTACTGATGTAATACTGCAAAAATGCCACTTACCTAAGAGAGTGATTGATTATACACTGTTTGCCATTTTAATAATCAACACTGGGCAACAGTCTTAATTTTTTTATTGTCAGTCCTCAGTTAACTAACTGGAATATTTGTGGTATGTGTATGTACCTAGTATGCGTATAGTCATAAAATCTCTTGAGTTCTGTTGGTTTAAGATCTTAGAGTATACATGGATGACAAACATGTGCCTACATCATGTCTTTTTATAAGGTTTGATGTGAAAAGATTCGTATTGGTATTTGCATGCAAAGAATTTTTCGGAGTGGGTGAGTTTCTGATGAGATGAAGGGAAAAAGCAGGTAAACATATTGAAGTCTGGTATTCGTTCAACAGACTGTCATTTCCTAAACTGGAAGTAATTTAATCATGTTTGTATCTGGAGTAGTTTAATGAGATCATTTGCCGTAATTACTTCATGTCTAACAAAGTCTGTTGCCATTTGGATTTTATGTTATGATTAGAATCCTAAAAAGAAAGGAGCTTAACCACTGGATGTTGAAAATAATCAGTATATTTCATTGTTAAAATTTGAACTGAGGCTGTGATTCAAATGTGTCTTTAAAAATCTCCTGTCAAGCTGACCCTTCACTTGTGATCCTGTTGCTGCAGTCTGTTGTGTGTATATGACATAAAGAACCAGCTTTGGCCATCCCAGGTGACTGCATTGTTGTGTGTTGCTGTTGGGACAGGCCATTTAAATATGTTAATAATTATTTTTGTTGCTCCATTTTACTGAGCTAGAAGGAAAAGCTGTTCTGTAATTAAGGAGCTATTTCCAAGAAAGCGGGTAGCATTAAAACTGTTATTGTAGGATCGTAGCAAAGGAGGTGAATATTTGTGGTTGCTGTCTGGTGGTGTACAAATGAGTGAGAGTAATCTGTCTAAAGAAGTTTCTTGCTAGGGAAAATTAATTGCTCAAGAAAAATAAAGGTTTTGTGTGAGTAACTTTTGTCAGGCAGAGGCAATAGGGTAAGGGGCTACTGCTGGAGTGAGTGGCAGCCGTAGCTGCGTGCAGGAACACGGTTTGTGTCTTCAGTAGCAAGCAGTTTTTATAAGCAGGGTACCACCTTTGTTTTAGCATAGCCAAGGAGAGACCTCAAATTGACTTGAGGCACACTTAAATGATGTTATGCAAAAACATAAGTTTGTGATACACTATGTTAAAGAACTGATTCTGACTGTGTATTTATCTGTATATCCTACTGATGGAAAGTATTTGCTGTTAAGGATGTTAGTAGTATTGTACTTAGCTGCCTCTCTACAAAGCAACCAAAGGGATACTGCTAAAATGATGATGGTGTCTGAAATCAGCACCAGGATACACATCTTGTATATAGCTTTGGCTATTCTTTGTCTTTTTCCCCTGAAAGATAGTCATGTCTTTTGAATCGTAATTTATTTACGTGAAGAATTTTAGTCTGTTACTGAAATAATTGGAATTATATCAAATTTGAATTTGGCAATTAAGCTGTATCTTACTGCGTATTATATGGTAACAATTTTCCTTTGATTGTCTAGCTTTCTTTTGAAAGACGGATTCTGTCCATAGTAATTCATTCCATTAACTTATTTATGATTTTATAAAGTAGAATTCCAATAAATAAGGTTTGAGTTTTGTAGGGGTTTTTTTCCTGAAAATTATTCCATTTAAATAAATTCCCTGATGTTTCATTTAAACTTACTTTTCTTAGTCACATTATTTAGTTTTCTGCTACAAGGTATGTTTGCAAATGGTAAAAGACTGTACATTTTGCTCTATTCCAGTGCCTGATGACCTCTCCATAGAAGAAAGAGAAGAGCTTTTAAATATCCGTCGCAGGAAAAAAGAACTGATCGATGATATTGAGGTAATTGGTTTATCTGTAAAGATCCTTAGAAGGCTGCTTCAGTAGATTAGGTTACAGTAAACTGCGTACCTAGGTATGAATTCCAGGTAATGGTTTTAAAAGCATATAAAAAGCTTAAGCTAAATATTACTAATGATGAACAGGATTTAAGCGTCATTTGTCTGCTTTTAAAGATGGTAACTTCTGTATTTATGCAGCGTGATATGTGCATATTACACATTTGATTTGTGTAATCAAGAACTCATTAAACAGCAGATTTGTGTACAGGTTAGGAGTGAGTGATAAATCTGGGTAAAGAAATCTTGTGCTGAAATTGGTAATGGCAATTTGGTCTTGATGCTCTGTGTCACACGAGCACACTCTGGGAGTTCAGATCCATGCGTTTAACAGTCATACAGTTGTGGTAAAATCTTTAAGATTCATCACTTTTCTTCAGGTGACTAGCAAATATTAGAAAATAAAATCTAATTGATTATATTAATATATGGTAGACTGTTTTCCTTTTAACGTAGGTTGACATATTGTCTTTCCTTCTTTTGGCAGAGATTAAAATTTGAAATTGCTGAGGTTATGACAGAAATTGATAATCTGACTAGTGTGGAAGAAAGGTAAGTAGTGCTAACATATGGACACGATTCAGTAAGGCCTTGGAACAGGTCTTCCAGGAATAGCAAATAGAAATAGTTTTATCATGCTAAATGAACATCGGATCACCTTTATTGAGTCTGTTATCAAGTCTCTAAAGCCTAACTTTATCCTGTTCAGGTGTGTCATATGTTTGGATAGAGAATACGTAATATTTTAGACTGTCCAGTTAGTAAATATATAGTTCTCTGAAGCTGAAATCACTTGAAATAATTGCAAATAGTAACATAAATGTAACATGAGCCTCATAAAACATTAATGTTTTGGTTTTGTAATAGAAAATACAAAGTAGACAAAATACAAATCCAGAAGTTGTTGTTTTTGTAAAAGAGCAACTGATAACTGCTTGTTGTTTCCTCTTTTTCTCTATGTGTAGCAAAACTACACAAAGAAATAAGCAAATAGCCATGGGAAGGAAGAAATTCAACATGGACCCTAAGAAGGTAGATACATTTTTTTTCCACTTATCAGGAATCAAGTTCCTGCTTGTAATATGATCCATGACAAATACAGTCTAGTTTTCTTAAGAAAACATTTCTGATAATATTAGTTCACAGGCCTTACTTGTATATCCTGTAATACACTGAGCGGAGGGTTAAATTAGAAGCAGTCATCTAGTCATTTGCCAGTCATGTGTGCTTTTTGACTTAAGCAAACCTTTTCTGATGATGGCGGTTATTTATCAACAATCAAATATGCCAGGTATTGAGTGAGCTGGCTTGCAGAAAATGATTTGTACCTGATAGAGGTGTTCTATGTGGGTATGTCAGATATATTTCTAAAAATATTTTGATGTTTTGTTATTAGTGAGACTGTACTTTTTTTTTCACGCCCTCCTATTTTTCTTTTTTCCAAAATACCTTTAACATGTTTTTTTTACATTTGTTCTTATATAGACTTTTAAATTCTGTTTGTGAAAAAGGCATGTATGAACTTATGTATGTTTGTATGCATATATAGATATGTATGTGTACCTATATGACTTGTACAAACACCTGCAGGTAGCAGCTTGGTTACCTGTTTCAAGAAGTCTACTGTGCATTGAGCCAAGAAGTGCAGTCTCTCTGGTTTTCTTAAACAATTGTTAATTTTCTGGAAAATTCAGGGACCTGCACATACTCTTACAGGCCTCCCGTGATATAGTTAAAAGAGCTGCTTTGGCATGTTTGACCTTTAGCCTTTACTTTTCATTTTACATCTTCCTTGTGTTGTTTTACTGCCTTCTGTTGTTTCTAATTGCGATTCCATTTTGAATTTGTGAAGAGTCTTTTTGGAAGTTGTTTAGCATTTATTTTTCTTGTTAGTTCTTGACATGTTTTCTTTCCAATTGTATTGAATTCAGTTACGTTTTGGTGGCTTTTCTGGAATGTTCCAAGTACAGTGGTGGCTGCTATTCTTCAGGCTGGTTTCAATTTACCAGAAACACTTGAGTACTTTGAGATACGAACTTTTTTTAAGCTACTGACCATGTATTTTCTTTTCCTTTTCCATTTTGGTTACTGTCTAACTTCAGTTCTGTTGAGGGCAGTATACTGCCAAATATCCTGATAGTTTGTTCTTGCCCTCCAGCCCTTTCACATCCTAGAAGTTTGTGGCAAAGTCACAGGATGATGTCAGATGCTTTTATTCCCATGTTAGCTATTTTTTTGTTACTGTTCTTGTTGGGTGAAATTATTTCTATAAATAGATGCTGTGGCTGCATTGCTACTGTAACATAATTTAAATGTGGTAAACAGACTTACAGTAGTGATTTCGTAATAACGTCTGAATCAGTGGTGGGCTGCAGTAGCTGGCTGCTCTAAGTTTGCAGCTGCTACTGTAAATTACAGGCAGGTAAAACATACATCCTTCTAATGATGAGAGAATTAACGTGGGGTTATTGCGAAAAGGATGTTTTTCATTTGTAAATGGAAGGGAAGATGAGAAATGTGAAAGAACGAGGGTAACGTCCTGGTTTCAGCTGGGGCAGAGTTAACTTTCTGTTGGCTGGGGAGGGTGAGGGAGCGGTTGTTGTGGTGTCTGGCTTCCAGCCAGGGTCAAAACCCCAGGTAATAATGCATGCGCTGAATCCCTGAAGTTTTCTCCTTTAAAACCAAATAACAGAGTTCTAATGTTTTCATATTACAGGAACACAGTGAGGTAGTTTTCTTTTACCGTTCTTATTTGAAGACCTTTGCATTTCCTAGTGTGTAACCTGTACATAGAGCAATTCTCGCTGCCCCCACCCAGAAAATCCTCATTCAAAATAGGCGTGTTTAACGCAGCTACGTGGTGTAGCATCACGTACCTTCCTGTTTGGATTTGGTTAGCTAGTGTGGGAAAGGCTATAATGGTAAAGTTTGTAAAACACTTCAAGAATACCTGTGCAGAGGACGTAAGGCTGGGCTTGAAATTCGCAGCACTGGAAGTTGGTACTGCCCAGAAAATGAATTCTCTGTGACAAAGGCAGGGTTTAAGTAACTGCAAAATCTGTAATTAAATTACTGTAAAAGCTTTGAAATTCAAAGCAGATTTCATTGCACTGACTTAAAAAAAAATCTGTGCGTTATTGGTAGTGAATATTGAACATTTCTGCAACCATGAATTTTGTGCGGGGAGATCAAACGAGTACAGCTGTCTTCTGTCTCCTGTCAGTCTACAGAGAGAAAATTTGCATCATGACAAAAGATAGCGTAGGAGTTGATAGGGATTTAGCTGACCTATTTTACCATTTATTCCAGACGCTGGAGTTGTTGTCCCAGCCAAATTCCTCTTCCTGTCTATTTGACTTCTGGTTCTTTAACATTTTAAGAATAAAAAAAACAGGAAAAAAAATCCAGAAAAAGGAAAATTAAATTTATTTTGTAGCATGTTAAGAGTATCTCCTTCTGTGCACAGAAATTTGTTTTCCATGCTTATAGTCATGTCTGTCATCTTTTTCAGTAACTTATACAACTTTTTCAGAACCATTCTGGCCAGTCTGTTTACACTAAGCATGAATAATATGGTCCAGGTGTTGAACAAGGGAATCTGCAACTGCTATTTCTGATGTTTGTTAGAAGGAAGGCTCTCTGTTGGTTGACAGATCTAAGAAAGCTTTTTGAGTAACTTGGTGTGGGGAAAAAACATTATGTTGCATAGTCAAATTTTTTTTTGTACAAATAGTTCTCAAGTGAGCTTTGAAGGGATCACTTTTGAGGAGAGCTCAGCTATTTCTGTTTCAAGATAAAACATATATTCTTTGCAACAAAATCATGTCTGTTCTGAAATGACTTATAAAAATACTAAGTTGTCAGTCAGAATACCAGCCTGTCAATTGAAATTAAGTTTTCAGATGATGATAAAATTGGTTTGAGAGAATTGCATTCCAGACTTCTTTTTAAAAGCTTTGAGCCTTATAACATCACAGTTCACTTTCTTTGTTACATTAGATCAGAAAATTGATTTTTTTTTTGTCAGGCAGGTAATAATTTCATTATAAAAAACCAGAATCAACCAAACAGAAGGGTAATTACTTTTTTTGAATGTTACTGTTATATCAAAAAGTAATGGAAGTTTTCCCAGTTGCAATGAAATAAAAAAGAAATACATTCCATTTGCAGAAATTGAAAAACTTCTGATATTTCTGAAATTATGACATATTCTAGTAGGAAAGACCTGGAATAATTTGTTAAACTCTTCTGTATGTATTTCGAATCAAAGACATTAAGGTTACTTACAACTGCCATTCCTACTTTTCCCTACCGTGCTGTTATCAGTTTTATGAAACCAGCAGGAACTGCAACGTCTTTGCTGGGATGTGTGGTGAGGAAAAGGAGAGCGCTATCTCCTCATGACCTGCTGAGTGGTGGAATAACATCCCTTTCATCCTCTACTTAATCTTTATATCTTAGTCTCCTTTCTTTACCGCTTTGCAGAAAGTTCTCTGGGCATCCCTAGAGTGTGCCAGTTATAGGGCCAGTGATTTGTGGAGGCATAGGAGTCGAGGGGCTTGATCAAGTACCCACTGAGGGACAGGGTAAGACTCTCCTCCTGGCTTTGGTAGAAGCTCCGTGGTAGAAGCTTGACTGGTTCATGAACAGTCCTTTGTGACTAGTCTAGTTCAAGTCCTTTGTGAATAGTTTAGTTTAAGCACAACCAGAATTCACTGATAATCCCAGTGTCGGCAAAAACTCTTTTAAACCAGTTTCAGTATCTTCAGACACGACTTCTACTGCAAGTAGTGGCTTGGTGTATTGGGTTGCAGTTTATAGATGATAAAGGATGCTTTATTTTGTGTCATGGTTGTAATTAAATTATTCCTACACACCTCCTCATTATATGATTTAAGAGGTTATGTCTCTGCAGAAGTATATGCAATATTGTGAACAAAGTAACTCACACATTAACTCCGAAGAGCAACATGGAATCATTATTCAATTAATATTTGATATTTTTATCACTGAATTATTCAAACTGCCACCTAGTACTTCTAGCCTTAAAATTTTAATCTATACACCAGTACTAAGTATTGATTATCTAACTGAAAAACATTTGTTTACCATTTCATTAAAAAAAAAAGTCTGTAGGCTAATGTAATTCTTAATGTCCCATGTATATGTCTGTGTCAGTATATTAATACCAAATGTTAGAACGGGTATTTACATAAATGCTTGTGGAAGAAAACATAACATTCCTTTTCCTCTGGAATTGCTCTTCTAGGGAATACAGTTTCTGATAGAAAATGACCTCCTGCAGAACACTGCAGAAGACATTGCACAGTTCCTTTATAAAGGAGAAGGATTAAATAAAACGGTAATTGGAGATTACCTCGGTGAAAGGTAAAATAAAAATATTGAAACTTTGTTCTTGAGTTTACAAAGCATACTTACGGGTTTTGGAGTTACCTTCCCCCTCACAGGCTGCATGAGAGAGCTACTCTGCTACTTTGAGATCTATAAAAGCTACAGCAGAAATATAACTGCTATAGTATTGTGATAGTTTTTTTTCTGACGGGTGGTTTTTCTTTTTAAATAGGTATATTGTGGAATAATATTTAATTCATTGTAACTTACTATTTTTAGAAAATACACTTAAATTTGGCTATAGTGCAGAATTTAACACCATAGGCTTTTGGAAGGTCTGAGAGTTGTATTGCAACAGTTTGGTAACTCTTGATACTGTGCCCAGACAAGGAGTAATTTACAATCACTAATAATTGGATAGTAAAGAAATTACTTATTAAAATGAGTAGTTCCCTGGGACAAGAGAAACAAGCAGGTTTTCGTGTTGTCTTCTTCCCTGCACACAGACTTCCTGTTAGTAAGTAGGCGTCTCGAAGGGCACCTGCACCGTATCTTTATCAATCCTAGTGCAGTAAACATGCAATATGCATATTTCTGCATACTATTGCAAAACACAATCAAAATGCAGATTGCTTGCATTGCTGTGCAACCCAGGAATTGATTTTGAAAAAGGCAGCAGAAAGAGACGGAAGTGAAGAGTGGGTTGGAGTACGTGTATTTACACGCTTGCACATGTTCCGGTTCAGATGCCAGTTACAGAGGTTTAAAAGTTGACTCATGTAGGATAGACTCCTGTAGTGATATGTTCTGGCAGATCCCTTTTAAGGCACCAGTAATCTGTTTACAGCATCATCAGCTTACTTTGTGCTCAGCAATTTCTTCCTGACCTTAATAGGTTTAATAAAAGTTTTCACTGTAGTATATATATGTTGAAAACAGATCTTTGCTATGGAGTTTCTCTACAGTATATGTAGACATTTCAACAATTTTTATACAACAGCATTATGTTGTTTCTCTTGAATATTTGGGCAATCAGTGTTATAAAATAATTTATCTGTTAATGTCCATAGTGACAAAGCTTGTATAAAGCAGTCTTTGTTCATTTTTGAGAGCTGCATTCTACCTTGATACTGTATTCTGAAATAGTTGCAGTTTTTCTAGTCCTGTTTCCATAATACCTGTATTCATGCAGAAAGGTCTTACCAATATGTCCAGGCCCACTGGAGTCATCAGTAATATTCGTGTGACTATTTATGGGTTCACATTTAAAATTTAAACATTTATTACTCATTCTTTTGCATCCCTGTAAGGGATGTTGCTGGGCAGCTCTGTGGTCTAATCTGAAAATACAGGGCAACCTTTTGTAATATAATATATATAATTTGATTATAACTTCTGACTTTTTCAAGACTTAAATATAGAAAAATGTAGTGGTCATAGTGAATAGCAAATTCAATCAGGAAATTTGGTATAAATCTATCAACTGGATAATAAAATCTTAGGAAAAGTGAATAAAATTAATGTACTGCTCCTATTTTGCACAAGGCAGAAGCAACCTATCCGTTTTAAGGAACAGTTGAAGTAAGAAAAAAAAATAATCATTTTTTGCTTGAAAAGGAGCTTTTATGCAATGTATCCAGTCAGTCTACTTTAATTGGGTTTTGCGTGTTTCTTCATTTCTGTGAAGGGTGTAATATTAATGTGGTGATGGGAAAGCAAATGGTATTTTTGTCTGGTTTTTTTCTTCACTTATACGAATTAATAAGTGGCGGTGGAGGTGAAGAGTTGACAGTCTGATTTTCAGGAATGTGTATGGACATTTCAGGGTGGTCAGGTCTGGAATAGGGAATTGTTTCATCGTACTCCTTTGAACTGCAACACTGATTTCCTAGAATCCTAATAATTGTTATTCATGTTCCTCTGAAAACAGTGTATTAGGCCTTTAGGTCCTGGGGTAACATCAGTATCCTGGGATAAAATAAAATGTGACAGTTGAGGTGGTCTTAAGCTGCTAGTTTTGCTACCTCGGAAAGAGGCCATTAGGTGATTTGTGCTATGCAAATGGCAGTGCATGTTATAGATGAGTTTTTGCTGAGTTACGTACTATGTTCTGTCAAGACATTTGGAGTCTGAGGACATTCTTTTTTACTTTGCTACTCCCTCTCAGGGGCCCGTCATGAATTATTTCTGCATTCTAGCTAAAAATAGCTGCAAACAAGACAAAGATAGGCAACAGAATGAAATATTTGTATAACATTCTGCCTTAAAGAGATATATTTTAAATTATTGACTTTTATGGTATTGCAGCACTCAGCAAACTGAAAAAAGTGAATGGTAAAATGGAACGAGATAATACCTAAAAATGTACAATAAGTAAGGGATGAATTGCATCCTATAAAAGATTTAAGATTTCTTTATATATGGGTAAGTCTTCACTTATTTCTTTAAGTGGCTTCCTAGACCTTTCATGATATTTGGCTTGTGTCTTTGGAGCTGTACCCATCACAAAGATCACCGTGAATCTAGTCTACATTGAACCTAGAAGAGCAAAAATTAGAGTATAAGGCTTCTATTGGTTCTGAATTACTGCAGCTTTACCTGCATATAACCAAAATCAATATTTGGCTTAGAGTAACGAAATACCCTGACTGAGTGCACTCTTCTGTTGTACTATTCTGCCACTTTATTTCACTGCACTGAAAAGCAGTCACGCAGTTGAATTGTGCATTACTATATATTTGGTGAGAATTGCTTCATTTTGCTTGAGAGAGCTGATGTGTTTTGCCGTAAACAACACGGGGACATCCTAATGAATGGTTTGTTTTAAGGTATTTACTTGTGAGTGTTACAGGTTAGTCTGGTATGCAGTTAGTCAGTAATGCAACAGATAA